ATATATATCCTTCCTGTGGTACAAAATGGAACAAATGTATAAATGTATTTCAGTATACCATTTTTAGCTAGAAGACTCTCAACATTTTTTAATGCAGCTTTGCAAGATACCTTTCTAAATATGGCATCCATATCCTTGCCTTCCTATTCTTGAACAGTGTGTGTGAAATCTGATCAGTTGTTGAATTATGCTACAACGAATATGCTCTGAAGTACAAAGAAAATTACTTGCTTCTACAACTAAGTGACCATAGGCTGTGTTCTTCTTAGTTCCTGTTTAGAGTCTGTGCCTTGTATTGACTTTCTTCTCTCTTATAACTCCCTTCTGATATGCTGTTTCCAAGGTGTTCTTATGATACCAAGTCATATGCTGAAATTATGGATCAGAACCAGTTGGCTCTTAGCAGTCATCAGAAGGAATAACAAGTGTTGGCCATCAAGTGCGAGGTCTTGGACACAGTCTTTCTAATGCTCTGCTTTAGAAAGACTTTCTTGTGGTGCTTTCCTGGTTCTCAGAATTTCTTGCCAGGAGTTGCTGATAGTTTCCTCTTTGGCATGATCTTAACTTGGTTTAGATCTGACTGAAAGGAAATGGGAGGGTGGGTAAAGGAAGTGATTAGAGTATCTTCAATACAAATTTGGATGAATTAAAACCTGTCATAAGTGCCCCAGTGGTGTTCTGTTTTTGAAAGAATACACTGATGGATCCTCTTTATAAAGAAAGAAGCCCTTCCCCTCATAACCTCCTTAATTTTGTCTTCAGTGTAAACCTGAATTTTCACATTTGTTCTGACACCTGCAAGCTAAAAATGGTTTTTGTATTTTTAAATGAAGGGAAAAGTCAAAAGAAGAATATTTTATAACACATGGAAACTATATGAAATTCTAAATTCAAAGTCCATAAATAAAGCTGGGATACAACCACACTCATCTGTGAACACATATTATCTGTGGCTGCTTTCATACTGCTGTGGCAGAATTCAATATATAGCCTACAAAATCTGAAAAATTTACTGTCCCACCCTTTAAAGAAAAAATTTGCCAACCTCTGTCTTAGAGAATTAGGCTGTCCTTATGAGCTTTACATAGCTGGGGATGATTGAAGGCCAAGGGGTTGGCAGGATCAGTACAAGGATCCTCTTGAGAGATGTTACATGCCAGGAGACATTGATGGGAATCAAATGGTGAGGCTAATCGCTTGTCAAGCTTTTTCAGTTCCTGGAAAATATGAGCAAAATCAGTGTTAAGGTTTTCATCATCTTCATTCAGAGGCTACAGACACCAAGGCCCTAGACTAGGTCTTTCTGGGTAGCAAAAGAGGAGGTGTCTGATGAAAGTAAGCCTGGAAAGGAAAGACTTTCCCACCTTACTTCTTCCCCTGGTCTTCCTCTTCTGCTCTCTAATTCTGTTCATCACTTAAAAGCCCCAGTTGTGAGCCTCACTATGTTCCAGGTCCAGCAAGGTCCACCAAGGAACTTCGCTCCTCACAGTCATCCTGTCACTTATCCTTGTCAGAGTTGACAGAACTGTTGTTTAATTTCTTGCAGATGAAAATGTCAACTCACAGAAACCCATTTATCTAGGTCTACCTGATAGCAAATCTATGATTTATAGACCCCTGCCTTCTGATTCAGAGAACAAGCTCCCCGTACTGATATATTTCCACCATCTGGCTTTGGTACAGCCTTAGACTAGGAGGCTTACTGATAGCGGCTGAGCAGTGGTCACCCACATAGCCTACAGGCAGCCAGCACTGCAGAGTGAGAGGCATGATGAAATGACTGGAGCTCATACAGGGCCTGGCAGAGCCATCAGGACCCTGAGATTGAGTCAACCCTGCCTTTGCACGTGTGATGAGACCCAAGGCCTTAACAGATTGGAGGCATAGGTCATCAGTGGAGCTTAGCTTCTAGCCCCACACCCAGATGATAAGCATCAGGCCCACATGGCCAGGGGTGCTTTGGGAAGAGCCCTGGTTTAAGGATCAGGAACTTCAGATCTAGCATTCTTCTCTGGAGCTCTCATTCTTCCTTTTTCTAAAAATGAGGTAGTTGAGTGAGAATTGATGAGATCAGTTCACATGTCTCTGACTTGGATATAGATGGGTCCTTCATAAAAGAGGGATGAGGTAGGGGCAGGTACCTTACCTTTTAGGCTTCAGATGTCATTAAATGTATTTTTTCCTTGCTTTATAGGGCTGACAAGTCAACCCCACTGATCAGCAAAGGCCAACCAAGAGGACCTGGTAATTACTTAATTTAAAAGTGGAGTTTATATTTCTGCTTTGTCTATGGGGGTAAAGTGGGTAACATTCCCAGCCGAGTGGTCAGCACGTGCCCAGGCCCAGCCCCCTTCTGTGCAGCAGCCACCCTTCCCTGAGCAGAGCTTCTGCTGTCCCCGGAGCTGCTCGAGTCCTGGCTCTCCTGCTGTGTCCCCTCATCCAGTCCACTTCTGCTGACATGGAGCTAGAAGTAAGGGGAGAAGGTGGCGACACCTCTGACTCCTTGTAACACTTGCATGCTGTGCACTCTGTGTAAAGGTTATATATGAATCGGAAAGTTTATTGGCTTTTAGGGCACGTTTCCCTCAACAAAGAAAAATCTCAGGAAATTCGTCTTTTAGACATGGCACTATGGCTTTTATATTGTTTACATCTCATGATTATAATTGATGGAGCATATGATAAAATTGGTTTATTTTGGTCCTAAAAGCTGTAGATCTCTCTGGAACAGAAGCTCTGGGTCCTCTCTCCAACACCTTAGTCATGCAGCCACCAGCACCCATGCCCCGGAAGTCACAAATAGTAAGTAGAAACAGACCTCAACAGACCCCTTCTTTTCTTCCCCTTTACCCTTCCTTGCCAGGCATGTCCAAGTTCATTCTGTAAGGGCTTGGAGAGTTCAGAGGAAACATGTCTTTTACTCTTCCCCTGAGAGTGGGTGGAGAGAGAAAAGAGTTGGAGGAGAGGCTTCTTGGATACATGGTTGTTTGGATCTGGGTACAAGACGCCCCAGAACTCAGCAGCCTGCCAGCATAGCCATCTAGTCACAGATCCCAGGGCGGACCCACACCCACATACAACCCAACACCATGCTGCTTCCTTTTCCCATCTCTGCCCAGCCTTTTCACTCTGCTGAGATTTCTTTTACTTCCTGTCCTGTTTCATCCCTCCTCCTAGAAGTCTCGCTGACTCTTGAGCTATGCTGATCTGCCGCACCTTTGCTTCCTGTGGGCTGTGCATGCCTGGGTACAGGACCCTTGAGGCCAACTGGAAGTAGAGTGCCCTAGTTCATTGCCCCTAGACCTATGCCTCCTGCCACAGTAATACTTCTCTCTTTTGACTCAGACAAAGTCAAAGCCCAAACGGGTCAAAGCCCTTTATAACTGTGTGGCAGACAACCCAGATGAGCTGACCTTCTCCGAAGGAGATGTCATCGTTGTGGACGGGGAGGAAGATCAAGAGTGGTGGGTGAGTCTGGGTTGGGTCCCCTGAAAAGTCCAGGGAGGGACTGGGCTGATTCCCCTGCCCACCTGGCCTGAGAGATCTGTTCAAGGTGTGATTCTCTCCACCTCATTGTCAATAGTGAGAGAGTGCTGCTCTCCAGTCCACAGGCCTTACTGACTCCCGCCTGCTCCACTTCCGAGTGGAGCTGGAATTATCCCCCATGTTTTATTTTCCCTCATTGGAGTGGGCAGGTTGTTCGTGCTGCAGTTTCCAGAGCACATTGGCAAGGCCTGAAATGAGGCCCCCTACCATAGATTGAGAATAGAAAGGAGGCTGACTGACCTAGATGCAGAATCCCTGGATGTCCATCTTGGTTCTAAAACTGTGGGCTTCATCAGGTATCCTGGATCGGTGCTGAAGTGAAAGCAACATGGGGTTTCAAGCCTGATAACCTTTAGAATTCAAACTCTGCCATTTATAGGCTGTGAGACCTTGGGCAAGTTGTTCTTCCTTTAAGCCTTTGCTGCTGTCATCTTCCAAAGGGAGGTAGCCCATAGCACAGCTATAAAGATTGAGTGAATTCACGTGTAAGTACTCAATAAAAGGCCAAGCCCTAGTGGTGTGGTGCCTAAGATATTTGACTGCTAACCAGAAGGTTGGCAGTTCAAACCCACCAGCCGCTCTGCAGAAGATAGACTGGGCAATCTACTTCTGTAAAGATTTACTGCCTTGGAAACCCAGAGGGGGTCGCTGTAAGTCAGACTCGGCTCAATGGCAGTGAGTTTGGTTTTTGGTACTGTAAGATGAGGATGGTAGAATTAAGTAACTTGTATAAAGTAGGAACATAAAGTGGAAAGTGCAGAAATAAAGAAAAAAATAAATGCTGCCTGTAATCGTAACACCTCTTCCCCGCCCCCCCCAAAAAGAACCCACCATTTATACTTAATTTTCTTTTAGAGTGTTTGCCTACATATTTTACATTGCTGAGCTCATATAACTTACCCAGAGTGAAAATACGTGGATTTATTGAAATTTTGCATAAATGCTTGATTAAACTTAAATAGGACAAGTCACACTTTGCCATGTTCTGTGACTGTTGAGTTTACAAACTTTTCTAATACTCAGTTGCTCCAGCCATTTTTTAAAACAAAAAGTGTGATGGTAATGATAGCTGCTCTCTCTGCCTGTCACAAGTGCTAGTAGGACTAAATGTTGTTAGCTGGTGTGTCCTCATGTACACACACATCTGAGAGAGCTCTGAGAAGAGTGCCTTCCACATCACAGGCACATGGTATTTGAAAGGCGAGTTGAAAGAAGAAGGAAAAAATAGTTGTGATGTTTTACTCATAGTCTCAGAATAGGTTCTTTGGAACATTTTTTTTCTTTTTAATTTTATTTTTAAAATAAATGTTGTAATGCCTGTTGAAGTTTCCAACATTGGGAATTTTTGTTAACAACCTAACCTTTGTCCATTTCAGATTGGTCACATTGATGGAGACCCCAGTCGCAAAGGAGCATTTCCTGTATCATTTGTGCACTTTATTGCTGACTAAATTGCTACTGAACAAAAACATGTCTTTTACCAGTTGTTATTTATGTTACTGTTTTATTACTGGTAGCAAAACTCTTTCCAGACAACCAGTTCATGAATTGTATTATACTGTAGCCCACTTTCTCTAATGCCACAGTTCTGTTTTAAAAACTCAAAGGCAATTTTTATATATAAATGAATTGTTTTTATAATTTGTGGTTCTCATGAAACATTGCTAAACTTTTGTTAGGGAAAACTAAATTTCCTAAAAGGTGAACTGAACAGTTATTTTAACTGCATTATCAAGATCCTGAATCTACAGAATTAGCAAAAAGTAAAAATATTTAAAAAGTATTGGAAATAAATCCGTCTTGCTTTTCCTTGCCTGATTCTGGAGTCAGTGACTTTTAGAGCAATTATTAATTTGGGAAGCTTGTAAACTGTTGCTTCAGAAGTCCCTAATGCATTCCTGTATTTTGTAGATAAAATGCCATCAGTTCACCTTTAAAAGACCTGTATTCCTTTGAAACCATCCAATGTTTGTTTAAAGCAGCTTGGAAATTTACATATTAGTGGTGTACTTTCTAGCTCTAATTTGTGAGGTTGCATCTATCATTATACTCTGCATGTGTGTATAACCTGTTATTGTGAGCAATCATACTTAACAAAACTGCTGATGGTTTATTACAACATATGGTAATAGCAGTTAACAGGAAGTTATCTAAAAACTGCATTTCCTGAATTTGGTTAAAAACTAAGGATGATGGATTGCACAAACAGTTCTTTACACTAGTTTATGCTTTAGGTGTTTTGGAATTTGTCTTCTTGAACTTCTTTAATCACACAGAAAGCAACTGTACACAAATAGAATGTTGTGGTGCAGACCATGCTGTTAACACATCTTAACTGCTGTTTCCTATTAAGGGTACCACTGCCTTCCCTTTCTAGCACATGAGAATGTTTACTCAATTTAGTGTCTTGTATTTATATATCAACATATTTCAACAGGAATGATAGTTATACTGTCTTGAAATTTAATCTGTCCATGTTTGTAATCAAGAGCCTATCAGAAAATCTATAGATCCCCAGTAATAAAATACCCTTAAATATCCCAATTTTAGTATTAAGTTCATCTTTCCATTCTTAAACTTAAGCTACTAGGGGGAAATTAGGTTGTATGTGATAACATAAATATTCATTAGTTTAATGAACTTGACTTGTTATACCTCTATTTAGTAATCACGAGCATAATATTCATAGTAGAAATATTGGGAATTTTGGCATTTTTTGAGGATAGATATGTATGATGCCCACTTGGATTTTTACCAAAAGTAAAGGAATAAATTTTAAGTAAAGGCTTGGAAAGCAAGGCAACAATGCTGTTATTACTGCATTTGTGAATGATGGTACATTTGATTGAAGCAGCCTGTCTTTACCATGCAAGACTCTTATTAGGTGTAGAGTTTTTTTGTGGTTTTTTTTTTTTTCATTGAATATTTTGTTTCTCTTATAAAGAAGACAGAACAAACTGGAATGTTTTATGATGTTGTATGGCAATTTTACTCTTTGCCTTTAAAAGTTCTGGGTAAAAATGTGTTAGATCTGTAATTAAAGCCTTTTTTTAAAGCACTACATCTGTTTTCACTAATTGTTAATTTCCATTGTTTTGATCCTTTCATTTAGTTTTCATTCATAGATTTAACAACATAAACAGATGTATTTTGCACAGTGCACTTCTTCTGTACACTTTAACACAGTTCTCCAGCATCTGTATCTTATCATCAGCCTTTTGACCGCCTGGTGCCAGCTATATTAAGGAATTGAAGTTGATCTATGTCAACAGTTGAAGTCCAGTCCCATGCTTATTTATCAGGTTCACTGGTACATGAATAACTAGGGAATATTTTTCCAGTATACAATTTGGTGGTGCTATTGTGCAGTAATTAACATTATTCTTACCAGAAGAGAATTATATTAACTTCCCTGCTAATATCCTTTCCTAGGTATTTGCTCTTTGCAAATTAAAAATAAATAAAAACTGAAAGAAAAAACATTGTAGATATCTATTTATATTTAAAGTTTATGTTTCATGAACTTCAGCTGCAGGATTCTGGCATTTTGCATGCCATTTCCATCAGGTCTGATTTCAAGGGAGGATAACTCAAATATGTGCACAGACTAACAGTTACTTTGTTACTTTTAAGGAGTGGATAACATAATATGCAGCTTGGAATGCTATTTGAGATGTATGATATTCAATTCATTCACTCGATTATTTTTGCTCTAGTTGCAGCGCAACTGTATATATTGTATACCTAAATCAATTCTTATTTTCATTGTCCTTAATGCAGTGATTTATAACTAGAGCATGTTTCATAAGTTTACTCTCCTTGTTAACTAGTCCTTTGACTAGAAACAAAATAAAAACACTTTTAAATGGATATGATTTTATTGTCATTATTTTATCTCTAAAGTGTTACTATTTGAGATAGTTCCTTAAATACACCAAGAAACCCTGGTAGCACACTGGTTAAGCACTTGGTTACTAACCCAGAGGTCAGTGGTTCAAACCTACCAGATGCTCCGGGGGAGAACAATGAGGCAGTCTGCTACTCTAAAGAAACAGCCTTGGAAAGCCCATGGGGTGGTTCTACTCTGTCCTCTAGGGTGGTGTGAACTGGAAACAACTTGATGGCAAACAACAGCAGTATACTATAAATGAGAGTCTTTAAATACTAGTTACTTTTACCATAAGCAATAATCTTTGACATTTAACTCTTGAGATAAAAATTGTGGGTTACCCAAATTATCTTGACAACATACTTTTAAAAATTTACTTTGTGTCTTAAGTTGGCTGTGTCACTGTTCTAAAACAACATGAACCCAGATCGACAGTCTCTGTGACTAGAATTCCAAGCACAAACAAGCACTTGAATACTGTCGTCAAGGTTGGCAGTTCAAACCTACCCGGAGACAGCTGCTTTCAAAAGGTCACAACAACTCTACTCTGCATACATGGGGTCACCATGAGTTGGAACAGACTTAATGGCAACAACAACAGAGTTCCAAGCTAGTGATGCTGCATCAATAGGAAGCTAGCTACAGAACAGATTACATTAGTTTTCCTCAGACAAGTTCTCAATGTTTATTATCCACTGAGTGGACATTTATTATACTTACTGGACTTTTGTTACACTTAGGTGTTACGCTTATTTGCATATAGTGATAAATGAGTTTTCTTTATTAACCCCAGAAAATAACTTTACTGAGAGTTAATTCACTGTTTAATAAGGTACATTTTAATATAAAAACAAATGATCAATATTATATATTGCATTTTCTTCAGAAAATCCTGGACAAGCGGTCACTTCCAATTTCCACAATACTTCAACACTGCAGATTGAAGAAAACTATTTAAGAAGCAAATGAATTTTCCAATGAAGTTGCCTTCCACTTGACTGCAGAATTCACGATTTCTCAGATGTTAAGACAGAATCAAAAGCGGTAGATAAAACTTTACAAATTGCTTGTGCTTGCTCCTACATTATATGAAAATATACAGTAAGAACAATGTTCATAAATCTCTTCCTGAAATTAATTTGACATGATAATCAGCAAAGATATAAATCTGGCTCTCAAACCCCTCTCCTATACCTATACATGAATAGATTTAGAAGGCCCACTACACAGCTTGCCTTGGTTAGGAGAAAACATACCAAAGTCTCCTAATATAATGAACAATAAACACATGTGAGAAGGGCCATCCCTGCCTCAATAAGGATGACAGTATACAAAAAAGGGATGTGGCCCATGGAGGAACACACCACTTTCCCTCACCTGCTTTATATTTATCCTAAACCTTTAAACAAGTGGGTGCTGCTACCAGACTAATATTCATTCATTGTTATTATGCCAGGTATTAGATACATAATGGATAACATCTCATGAGCCTTTGAAAACACTGGAAATAGAGTCTGGATTTTGCCACTTCATTTGATGAAGCACTAAGAAACTGACCAAGGGAACTTAAAATCTCACCAGGCTGCTGCACTGATACACCCATAGGCTGTATTCTTCATTACTTGCATCTGTAGTCTTCAGAGCCAGTAAGCTTTTTCCTGCCCCCAGACCATCATCATAACACACCATCCGAATGATTAAATATAGAGCATGTCTGTGTAAAACATCCTGCAGAAATCAGTGAAAATCCAGAAAGGTCATGAAAATGTTAAAAGTATCTCAGTTCTTGTAAGACATTTTCCTATGAAGCTTTAAGGTAGCATATATCCACATTTGGCAAAAAATAGCTGTATAGGTTTTTCACCCACAGAGACATTCTGGTATGTTCAGCTATGGCATATTTAGGATTACAAAACCTTCTTAAGTTCTAGAGACACAGGAATAAGGTGATCTAAACTCACCCATTCTCTCTGCCCAGCTTCCAAGCTGGCAGCTGCTCTTAACTAATATGGGGTCCAAAGTTGAAAACAAATTAGGAGCCACCAGTGGGGATGTTGGCGTGGACCCTGCCTGCACAGGGGATACAAAAAGGAGCTCCTATTCACTCTATGACATTGGTCATGTTTAGCACCAGCAGCCAGGAATGTTTACAAACCATTCTGCAAACAGAAGCTGACCTAACTACAAAATAGGCCTTTACAGAACGAGCTTCCTAATGCCTAGCATGGTTTTTCCTTAATAAATTATATACTTACATACTGATCTGATGTTGATACTTTTATACCATACTTGGAAACTCCCATAATAAATTCTTCCTCCAGAGGAACAAAAGGCAACTTTCCATCTTGCTTTAAAGTGAAAAAACATGATAATACATTTAAAATGATGCTATATCCTTAAGTCTGATAAGTCACTTTTAGTGCCTGGCTGCCAACAAACCCAAACCCTGTAAAGAATGGAGGGTACACAACCCAGCCCAGCAAGAATTTCTTTCTGAAGGAAAATCTTTTTTTTTTAAAATGCAGTTGATAAATCAGGGCAAAATTCAGATTCATTTACTTAACAGTATTGTTCCATCCCTTTGAGGTTAACCCTAATTTGAAACTGAGATACTTTTTACAGGTCCTGGGGAGGTTAAAATACTGACACCAGAAAAATAAAGGTCTCTATTTAGATTTTAAAATACTCAAAGTTTACAGTAGTGTTAACACTTGAAAACATAAGGAGACACGGCCACAGGAACCATTCTTCTCACAGCTGTTTTATATCCTATCCAGGTGTTAGTATGTCTGGTTATTCCCAGGCTCCAGGGTCTTTGCAGGCACACACTGTTTGATGAACAGTTACTTGCCTTTCAAAAACACTTACCACTAATTTGAGCTATTTAGAGACAGGAGATAATACCTGATGATTTCACTGGTAATTTTATTTCCTAAATTAGAACTGTGACTATATTTGTCTTTTCTTAAATTAGGTATTTCTGGCATTCAGTACATGTCCCATATTATAAATGTTTTTGTGGAACCATGTGCTGACATTAAAGTAAATAAGCTATGTCTTTAATTTTTATACTATAGGCATACCTCAGAAATATTGTGGGTTTGGTTCCAGACCACTGTAATAAAGAGACTATCGCAATAAAGCAGTGAATACTGCAATAAAAGCAAGTTGCACACATTTTTTGGTTTCCCAGTCTATATCAAAGTTAGGTTTACACTTTATTTTAGGCTACTGTGTGCAAAAGCAGTATGAAAAAGTTTGAAGTATTGTAAAACTTACCAAAATATGGCACAGAGACACAAAATGAGCACATGCTGTTGGAAAATGGCACCAACAGACTTGCTCGAGGTAGAACTGCCACAGACCTTCAATTTGTAAAAAACACATTATCTGTGAAGTGCAATGAAGTGAAGTATGCCTATAATCTTTTGCCAATCATTTCATTTTAAAAGGAAAATCTACGGTGTGTAATCAGTCACCAAAATCCTCATTTAAACAAGAGGATCAGAATATCCCATTTAAAAACTAAATAAGTACTATGTTTAATGGAAAGAACATTGGTCTCTGTGATCCTCTGCAACTCAGTGTCCAAGGCACCTTTATATCTAGAGAAACCAGTCTAACACAACCACCTATAAGTACAGTGCTTAGTAAACATTTACAACAGTTAGTACCGCTCCTGGACCTGCATCTTTGGGGTAAGATGGAGAAGAGCTATCCAGTGGATCCTCTAATACCATGCGTTTACTATCAACAATCAAATAACCAGAGGCTTTAAATTGAATTTTTCTTTTTTTACCTGGGCAACATCTATATAGTTTATCAGGTCTAGTGGCCCCTCCAGACTTTTTCCCTCAGAGAGTTTCAGTTTCTCAATGGCACCAACATACTTTATTCGAAATTCTGCACAGGTATCTGAATTATTGTTGCTTTGTCCTAAAGTAAAAAGAAAAATTGTAATAGTAAGACTTCAAAAGGAACACTTGAATTATAGTCCCTTCTTCAGGCTCTTCTCAAGTAAGAAACAGATGGTGTCATTAGAACTTAACCTTTAATAAAGTATTTAAAAATACACAACTTTTTGATGTAATGGGAAAGACCTTAAAATTTCATCAACCTTTTGCTCAAGTAATTCACAATATGCAAAATGTATAAAATCTCAATACGAATAAATCAAGTATTAATATTCTTCATTTCAGAACATACAATATCAGCTAGATAATGATTCCGTTTGTTTCCTCTCCCTCTTTACCACATTAACTTTTAAATTCCTTTCCTGATTCAGGAAGCCTAGTCTTCCTCTGCTATTCAGTCAGGGAAAAAAAAAAAAAAGACTTTAAAAAAAAAATATATATAGATGGAATAATGCCAGACAGGATGTCCCTTACTATAATAGCACCAGGTTGAAGAACTGCGTGTATGTTATAAAACTGAGCCATTACAGAAATCCCCACAAAGCATTTATGGTATCATTATATGATTACTTTTAAGTTATATTTAATAAAAGGATGATCATGTTTTTTAATATTTTAGAGGCATCTGGCAATGAAGATAATACAACTTATAACATTCTCTTTTATATTATCTGGTTCTACTTCCCTTTTACAGATTGACTTTATACACTGACTAGTCAGTGATCCTCGAGAAAAGAAAAAAGGATTTTAGATAAGAAAATTAATATCATTAGCTATTTATGAAGCTTGGTTTAGAAGTCACTTTTTGATCTCCAAGGAGCTACTAATTTCACATGGCTAGGTAAGGTTGCTGAGTTGGAATCAACCCCATGGCAATGGGTTTTGGTTTAGTATACAGATGTTTAAAAATTTAGAAGTTTCAAAGTAGCTTTTTAAAAAATGGTATGGCAGAGGATGAGTTATCAATAAAGGAATTATATTATTTATGGGGAGTAAGACAAATATCTTACTGATTAAAAAGGTTAAGGAGTCATTTACCCAGAGATATACCAAGATGCACTAGCTCAATAACATCAGGAACAGACAGGTAAATTAAGGGCAGCATCTACTGCAACTTCTAGATTCTTGCTGCACAAAGCTTTCCAAATGTTCTTAGTCTCAGGCTCTGAGAGAAGTTTGCCCAGGTACTCTCTCCAACCTTTAACACAGTCCCTTTCTCCAACCACTCCATACCCTTAGCCCACATTCTACCAAATACTGGTCTATTTCTAAATGCTTATCAGAAATAAGAGAAAGGAAGAAAACCCCAAATATATAAGAAGTCATTTTGCTACACTAATAAAACTACATGAATATAAATTAGAAGCCTTAGACAAAAATTATCCAACCCCTTTACATACCTGAGCTTTTAGTAGAATCTGTATCGAGGCTGGCCACAGTACTGGATCGTGAAAGTCCCCCGAGGCTAGAATCTACAGACTGAGAAACAAAAAAAAAACAACCTCAATATAATAAGACTGTCTTCTCTCAAGCACGGTACTAAACACATTCAAATTACTTTTTACTAAAAGCTGACACATAAAAAATCAGGTCAGTTATTTAAGTAGATCAACCCAGAGAAATTTTTCTAATGACAAATAGTAAAGCAAACTTCAAAAAATACATAATATCTCAACTGCTCTTCCCATAAACAATATTGGATTTAAAAAAAAAAAAAAAGATAAATCAAAGCCACAACTCTTTTTACAAGATACCTTATATTTATGTTACATGTAAAAATCTTTATTTTACTTTCATTTTATTTCCACTTAAGCAAAGAGAACTCTGTGCAGGAAGCAGGGCAGGGATTATCATCCCTGTTTTAGAAATGAGGAAACAGACCCAGAAAGGTTAAGTGATTTATCCAAGGACACATCCAGTAAATGCATCAGAGCTCAAATGTAGGTCTCCTAATGCTTAATCCAGTGTTTCTGCAATTATTCCAACTAGCATCTGGCACTCAGAAGTTATACACAGGCTAACTGGCAGATCAAACATAGCTATTAATGTGAATTTCAATGAGAAATAAGCAAAACTGAGAATCACATAGATGGATGTAGTTCATTCTATAGAATTAAACGCTCAAATTTCTTAGGAAAAACATCAGAAAACTTTCCAATAAAAATGTTAGTTAAGGTCCCTGGGTGGCAGACAGTCTGCACTCAGCTAGTAAACCAAAGGCTGTCTGTTCAAACCCATCCAGCATGACCTCGGAAGATCCAGGCCTGGTGAGCAGCTTCCATAAAGATGAAAGCCAGCCCAACTCTGGAGCTTATGTTGTCTCTCCAAATGAACACATAAACAAACTCCTCAACAACAACAAAAATTAGTCACTTGTAACTCAAATCAAGATTAAAAGTTAAAAGTATAATCAAATGTTTAAATAGTTTAAGAAGTGAATCAAAGGTGACTACAAGAACGTATCAAGTCTTAAATACATGCCTTCCCTTTCTCAATAATTCCACTTCTTGCAGTATAATCTAAAGTAAGGAGAGCTGCATGCATGAAAACATTCACAATGATGTTATCTGTGGTACTGAAAACCCGGAAATAACCAAATGTTCAACAGCTGGGGACAGAATTAAGATACTATTACAAATTTAGACTGGCTCCTGGGATTAGGACAACTCCTGAAGTCAGTAACCATTCAGAGCAAACTTTTGGGCTTCAAACTACCCCCCTATATAGGAAAACACCATTACTTAGAACAGGAGGAGATAAACAACCTATTTTTCACATGTTCAAGATATAACAAAAAGCTTTATTTAAAATATCAATTTAACAGTCACAAATTTCCTTTAAAACCACAGTGGCTCCCCCTCACCACCAGGATAAAATATGCAGTCCTGGACAAGGTGGAAAGAGGCCCCTTTGTACTTCTCTAGCCCCAGTGCTCCACTCACCTGCATTCTGGGCACCAGCCACATCAAAGAACCATTAGCAAGGTCCTTATGGAATCAGCAAATCTGGGCTTTAGTCCTAGCTCTGCCAGTAGCTAGTCCTTAAGTCTACCTGTTTTCTGATCTAGAAAATAAGATCCTTACGTTTATGGGTTACGAAGGTAACAGTAAGGAGGTTCTTGCACTAGCTCCAGGAGTTCAAAAACTTTAAAGAAAACTACTAATTTTCCCATTCTAAGACTGCAGAGGATTACAAAAATGTCACATTGCTGTGCTTTCATCTAGAAGTGTATCCAGTCAATGATAATGCTGGTTATCCCGTCCTGACTGAAAATCAAATGGCAGTCACAGACATCTTTATTTCAGTGTGGACACTGTGGTTTAACAGTTCGGTGTACACAGCAGGAACTAGGGTGAAGCCAGGAAGGTGCCTAGGATGCAAAATCTAAGATGGCATCACGTTTAATGTTAGCACTTGCACAATCCTGAGAGTGAGCGCCTTTGAATTTTGTGTCTCAGGTACCTCTGTTGCCTCACCCAAGTCCTGGCCTTTAGTATACAAGTCTTTTCACCTTTTCATGACCCATGGGATATAAAGTGCCCACCTGTTCCACCTCTGGGGTATAATGGAATACTTTGATCCCACTTTTAGAGCATGCTGCCATCTGGTGGGGCGTTTGTATAACTACGTGATTCTGAAGAAATGGGGCCTTATCCCACCAACCCCAGCACCAGAGACCCCTTGGGTGTCCCACTAATTGTGCGTTTGTATAACTACGTGATTCTGAAGAAATGGGGCCTTATCCCACCAACCCCAGCACCAGAGACCCCTTGGGTGTCCCACTAATTGTATCAAAATCTGTATTACATCAAACTTTTTTTTTTTAATTTCATTCAAACTGTCTTCCATTGCTCAAAACACATGGTTTCAAAAAAAAAAAAAAAAAAAATCTAGCAGAAAATAATTTTGTCTTAAAAGGGTTAAAACAGCTCACAGGGTGAGAAATGATAAGGCTCTTTAGTGATAAAGAACTACTAGAATAGGAGCTCTCTAAGGTCCCTCAAATTCAAAGAATCTACCTGAGCAGATATGAGCCCTGGTAGCATAGTGCCTAAGGCACTTGACTGCTAACCAGAAGGCTGATGGTTCAAATCCACCAGCCACTCCTCAGAAGGAAGGTTGGCCAATCTACTTCCATAGTGATACTGCCTCAGCAACCCAAGGAGGGGTCGCTATGAGTCGGGTCCAACTCGTCGGCACATAGCAACACCACAACACCTGAGCAGTTAGGAGCAGCTTAGGGAGAAGAACTTGTCTGTCAATTTGTCGTCCTGTGGTGGCTTGCGTGTTGCCATGACGCTGGAGGCTATGCCACTGGTGTTGCAAATGCCAGCAGGATTACCCATGGTGGACAGATTTCAGCAGAGCTTACAGACTAAGAAAGACTCGGAAGAAGGAAGAGGCCATCCACTTCTCAAAGAATTGGCCAGTGAAAACCTTATGAATAACAGTGAAACACTGTCTGATATTATTGGAAACCTCGTTAAGGTTCTACTCAGGGTATTTGCCTCACTATCCAACTGACTTACCAGATTCAGTCTCATTTGCAATAACACTGCTCCTCTTGCGTGGAACTGGAATGTCTAACCTTCTGAACTTATACACACTCCACCTACATATTTTAAAGCCCCATTCACTTCCTACCTTTTTTTTGGAAGACTTCCTTCACAACTTTAGTGCTACAATATTCCCAGTGTCTGAATTATTCAAGTAATACCTGACAGCTATAACACAATTTCACATTTTCTTGGTTACTTACTGTGTCTGGGCTATTCCATGCACTAACAATGTCTCAAACGGTATCTGAAAGAATTGGAAGGAATACATATTCTGCTTCCCATACTAGCTAGCACTATACGAAGCACCACAGACAAATATTAATAAGTAGTAACCTAAAGCTAAATGGCTATTTCATGGGATGGTATGTGCACACTGGAAAGCTAAAATGAGGTAAATATGTGAAAGTGCTTTATACTCTATGAAGAATTCAATCAACCGTTGTTACTTCACTGATGCAAGCCTTGACTCCTGTTTTCTTTATACCCCACTGCCAATCTCTCAACAGATCCTGTTGGCATGAGTCTGAAAATGTCCAGAATATTCTTCTCACTACTTGTATCACTACCCCCTATCCCAGTCCTAGCTACAATCATCTCCCACTTGGATTATTACACTATCCTCCCAACTGGTATCTCTGTTTTCATCCTTGCCCTCCTTTTAGCTGTTGTTGTTATTATGTGCCGTCGAGTTGGACCTGACTCATAGTGACCCTCCTTGGGTTTCCGAAGCAGTATCACTACAGAAGTAGATTGCCCCACCTTCCTTCCGAGGAGTGGCTGGTGGGTTTGAACCTCTAGCCTCTTTATAGCAGTCAAAGTGATTCCAAGTAAACTTAATATAAGTTTTATCACTCCCTGGCCCCAAACTCTCCAATGCTTTCCACCTCGCTCAGAGTAAAAGAGCAAGTCTTTACAATGCCTACAAGGCTCCACATACCCCAGCTCCCCCTACTTCTCTAACCCCACCTAAACCTCTCCTGCTCGACTTCAGTCCATTCTGGTCACAATGGTCTTCTTGCTGTTCCTTAAACATGGTAGGCATGCTCCTGTCTTAGGGCCTTTGCACTTGCTGTTTCCTCTATCTGAACCACTCTTCCCTCAGTATCATCATGGCCACCTCAACTCTGTTAGGCCTCTGCTCAAATGTCATCTATAAAATCTTTCCTGAATTTTAAAATTGCACTGGTTTAAAACTGCATCACACCCAATCTCCTACCACTCTTTATTCCCTACAATTCTTCTCTTCTCTTAGAAGTTTTCACCATCTGACATATTCTATATTTTAATTATTTATTCATTATTCTCTCCCCCAATGAGAATGTAAACTCTATGAGGGCTGAGATTTTTTTTTTTCTTCTCTTTTTAACTGCTCTAGCCGCTGAACCTAACACAGTATTTGACTAAAATGGTAGTGCTCAATATAAAGGAGCTCTGGTGGCATAGTGATTAAGTATTCAGCTGTTAATCAAAAGGTCAGCAGTTCGAACCCACCAACTGCTCTGCAGGAGAAAGATGAGGCAGTCTGCTTCCACAAAGATTTACAACCTTGGAAACCCTATAGTCAGTTCTACTCTCTCCAGTATGGTTGCTATTAGTTGGAGTTGACTCAATGGCAGTGGGTCAGTACTTAATATAAGAGCCCTGGTGGAATAATAGTGAAGCACTAGACTGCTAACCAAAAATTCGTCAGTTGGGAGAAAAGACCTAGTAATCTGCTCCTGTAAAGATTACAGCCTAGGAAATGCTATGGAACAGTTCTACTCTGTTGGGTCACTATGAGTCGGGATTGACTCAATAGCACACAATAACAACAGTGCTTGATACGAATGAATGAACAAAAGTTTTCATATGCTATATAGTCCAGGAGGCAGAAAAGAATACTGGTCTTCTAAATACCAAAAGTTTGTGTTAAAAACTTAACATTCTTGGAATAAATATAATTCAGTTATCTTTGTACTCTCTCACTCTAACCTTTGAATAGGATACCAAAGTGTGCTGTTGAATAAATCTTCAAAGGTATGTTCTATATAAGATTGATGCATTCCATCAAACAACACACAGAAAGTCTCTAGGATACAGGTATTTGCCTAGCTCACTGTTAAGTAAACAGAATTGTACTTATGTATACCACCAAATCCTGGAATTCAAGAGATCTAGGCCCTTAATTGTCTGCAACTTGTAACATTTAAAAAATTTTAAATACAGTGTTTGTTTCAATGAAATATTTCATAGGTTGTGTCCATCCTAGTTTAATGTATTTAAGAATTTCAGAAAATCCACCAAAACAAAATAAAATTAAACCAAGTACAGAATATATCTCTAGTATAAAATATGAATTTTAAAACACACCTAGTTTGAAGGTAGCAGGCAGTCTGCCCATGGTTAGTATCCTCTGCAGTATCAGTTAGAAGAAACAAAAGTCTCACTGCTGTATGAGTCCATTCCAAATTCCATTTCCCCTACCTTGCTTTTCGTGCTGATTTCACTACTTTGGGAACTGCTACTACTGTGTCGTTTTTTGCCTTTCCGAAACATTTTTCACCATAGCTTGATCCAAAGAAGTACCCCTGGGAAAATAAATGTTGGCTACAATTATATGAAGAAAAGCAACTTTAAATCACCTTATGGAGCTCTGGCAGCTTAGTGCCTAAAGCACTTGGCTGCTGACTAGAAGGCTGGCGGTTCAAACCCACCAGGCACTCCTCGGAAGGAAGATGGGGCAATCTACTTCCATAGTGATATTGCCTCGGAAACCCAAGGAGGGGTTGCTATGAGTTGGGTCTGACTCAACGGCACATAACAACAACAATGTATATATAGTAAGAGTAAAAACCATTAATTCCTTTTACTTACAACATAAATATATTCCCTTGACCACAAAATTTGGATACTATTCTTTTTGTTTCTTTTTAACTTTTTATTGATCTTGATGAACATTTACAGAGTAAATTGGTTTCCCAATCAATAATTCATACACATTTTGTTTCATGACATTGACTGTAATCCCTACAGTGTAACAGCACTCTTCCCACTTCCTCCCTGTGGTTACCATTTCCCTTTGTCTTCTTTCCAACTCATTCCTGCCTTCAGAGCTTTATCCCTGAGCAAATGCTGCCCTTTTGATCTCTTACTGTTGATTATTCTTAGGAGTGCTACCTCCCCAGTGTTATTATTCACCTTACAGGCCTGTCTATTGTTTGGCTGAAAGTTGAGCCACTGGGTGAGTTCACTGCTGGGCTTAAAGGGTGACTAAGGGACATAATGATACTATTCATTCTTTTTAAATTACAAAAAGCAAAATCAATAAATTAAAAGTACAGAAATCTACTTGTCATATCTAGTAGTATCGAAAGCATTTCTTGCAGAAGTTACACACGTCATCTACTTTTCAAAACATTCAAGTGTCATATTTCTCTTTAATCAATTCAAGATGTTAGCAAAATATGTGACACAATAACAGTTTACCAATCAAAATAGTGGGTATAAGATACTGTATCAGTTTCATATTCTGTAATGTAGGTCTAAGAACAGGAGATATTACCTCTCAGAAATGTGCATTTTTCTTAAAGTCTTGAAATATACTTAAAGTAAGATGATATAAAAACATTCCCAGGTGATAGCTTCTCACCTCATCACTGCAACAAGGCCAGGTAAGGAGGTGATATTATGTTCCCCAGAGTCACTTTTCTCTATCTTTCTAAGAAATTAATATTTAATGCCTTGGAAACATTAGTAAATTTTACTCTGTCCATTTCATATGAGTTAATATATTTTACTTAGAAAACTATTATTAACTAACCTGCATGATATTTCATAGTTCAAAGTACTTCCAAATATTATTTTCTCATTTTATCCGAACAGCAACCCTGTGACATATTCATTTAATCCAGATATTTTGTAAGGGTCTACCACATGCCACAGCGCCTACTCTTAAGTGGGCTTAAAGAAGGTAAGTTATAATCTGCTTTTTATCGATGAAGGAACCATGGCTTATCTTTCAAGTTGCTGCTGTTGTTCTGTGCTATTGAGTTGGCCCTGACTCATAGCGACCCTTCCTTGGGTTTCCAAGGCAGTATCACTATGGAAGTAGATTGCCCAACCTTCCTTCCAAGGAGTGGCTGGTGGGCTTGAACCACCAACCTTCTGGTTAGCAGTCAAGTGCTTTAAGCAGTACGCTACCAGAGCTCCTTATCTTTCAAGAGGAGTTATAAATAAGATAACCTAACAAATTTCACCAAAAACTGAATTCTACAAAAGGAAATTGCTTACTGTAGAATCTAATTCGGGTTTATTGTCTTCACAAGTTCCACAGACAGCAGTCTATACAGATAGCTCCCTTTCATTCTGACACGGTCAATTCTTTCGGGAAAAACGATGCACCTGATGAAGGAAAAAGAATGAGAAAATCATAAAGTAGTCAATTAATGTTCCTGCTCCAATTAAAAGTTTCTCCCGTTGTATCTGAAGACTATACGCTAAGTCCACCTATTAGGTATGACCTTAGGCCACTACCCAACCTGAGTCCAGGTTCTTTTATCAGCCTCATTCATTTCTCTATTTTCACTTTATACATGGAGTAGACAGACCTGATTAATTCCTTCGTTGCTGAGTAGTAAGTGAGCACCAACTAGGTGCAAGGGATACACTGGTGAATAAGACAAATGAGGCCCCTACCTCATAAAGTTTATATTTTAGGGACAGTATACAGGCCAAGCAAAACAAATATAAAACATATTATTAAGAAACAATGATTGCTAGGAGAAAAACTAAAGCAAGCTAAGGTGACACAGAGTTATTAAAGAAAGGGGTGAGTATTTCAGATAGAAAAAGACGTTCTGAAGAAATGAGAGGTATGGAGACTGGATGAAGTGAGCACAGTCATAAATAGATGTGGAGGAAAAATACTTCAAATAGAAGGCACAGCAAGTATAAATGTCTTGAGGGAACAAGCTTAATAAAGGAAATAGTAAAAGGTAAATATGGCTAGAGTGGAGTAAAAGGGAGAGTGAGGAGAATGAGGAGAAAAATACGCAGGGGCCAGACCACAGGTCTTATAGACGACAACTAAAGTTTGGGTTTTAGTTTGGGTTTAATAGGAAGATGCTGAGGCTTTTCAGCACTCAAATGACAAAATCATATTTCTGTTTTAAAAAGATGACTCTGGCTACTGGGTGGGGAACTAACTGTATAGGTATAAGAATAAAAAGAGGCAACTGGTTAGAGGGTTATTACAGATAAGCCGTTGCAAATTATAACCTTGTCATCACAGGTTACTTTTCAGTAAAAGAGAGAAGGCAGGAGTCTTATTCCAAGGTTGGCCAAAAATGGGTTACTCCAGCACCATAAAGTAGCATAATTGTCAGTAGTTAAAATGTCGGTAAAACATTTTTAAGCACATTATATAAATATTATATACATCAATTTTAAATATGATTTAAATGTAAAGTTTGGCTCTCTTTAGTGGAGTCCCGAAGCACCTCTTCAAATCCCTAGAACTCTAGAATGATTTGAAAGTTCCTACACTATAATTCAATGTCATTACAACTCCTTTCTTTTCATGAATCCAGGAGCTTAAAAGCATTTATTAAAGCCTTTGATATCTGCCATATTTTGATCCAAGTTCTTAGGCAAATCATTCCTATCGCTAAATTATTCATCATAAAAATGAGGCAAATGATACTTATTGTCCCTTGGATGTTCCACAGGCTTATTAAATGCCAAAATGCCTAAAGCTGTCCTCAACATCTTCCCCTCCAGATGCACTCCTCTCCTATACTCATTACACTGTAAATTCCTCAAGGTGAGGTTAGGTTATTCATCTCTGTGTCCCCACTGCCTAGCACAGCTTGCTAGAGGACATGCTACTCAACCTGAGAACTTTCTTGGGACACGGCACCCAAATAACAATTTTCATTTACTGAACACCAACCTTGAGTCCTGCACATTGCGAGGTGCTGTATATATCTCTAACCTTCACTACTAACCAGCAAGATTTTAGTATTTCAGCCCCTTTCAAATTAGGAAATCAAAGTTCCAAGAGATTACGTGACTTGCCAAGGTCACCAGACGAATAAACGATGAGGTCGAGTTCTGAACTTAGGCAGACTTGGCTCCGAAGCTTTTTCCAGACACCACTCTGTTACTGGAGTGCCTGTCACTTGGTCGGTGCTGAACATATCCGACAGTAAACAAGACAGACTCAATCTCACAAGCAGCGGGAGGAGGCTGAAGCAGTGGAGAAAACAACAGGAGCAAGCACAAAAATGTACGCTATTTCCTCACCTCCCTCTCAAAGGGCAAGAAAACAGGCAGATCTTGACATACAAGACAATCCCGCAGCTATAGATGCTTCCATTCCATGATGATCTTATCTGACAAGACAAATTCACACATCTACCATCTCAGGCGTTATTGTAGCAAAATCATAGAGTGGCAGGGCAGGAAGAGAAGCCCCACACTCGGGCATTTGTTCCGCACCTCACTGGCCCGCAGACGCATGCCCTCCTTCCCGCCTACGGGTCCTCACACCTCGATCTCAACGCAGCCCCCATCCTCGCGTCCGCCAACTGCACCTCAGGGCCCCTCTCTTCCTTCTTGGCGCCCTCGAAGCGACACTGAAGACCACTGGTTCTCCTCACAGCCCCACCCCTGCAGTCCCAAACACTGGCCTCACCCCGCCCGGTGCCGCCTTCGGGGACCCGGATCCCGGTCACGCACCCTCGAGCTGCCCGTACGGGGCGCGCGCTCATGCCTGGGTAAGGAGAGGACTCTCACCTCACATCCTCTGGCCCATCCCTGGAAACGCTTTAGGTTCGGATCAGAGTCGGACCTCTACAGCAGCCGGTGTGGGTGGCAGATATTCCTGTTCTAATTCCAGCGCCAGTTTTTTTCACCCTCCTTTCCCCTCCCGCTCTACACTGTCTCAGAGAGTAAGCGCAGGCGCAATCCTCGCTGCCCGATCCAGGCTTCCGGACTCCGCAGTGCGCTGGAACCTCGCAAACTGGGTTCTCCAACCGGAAGTAGAAGGGAGGAGCCTAGTGCCGCGGGCGCCAGAGTGCCGGAAATTGTGCTGTAGGTGGATGGAGCTTGTGCTCTGGTTCCTGGTGGTTATGGTTCTAATTTAAAAATACTCGGGCGACTTGTTCCTCGTCCCGGCTGCTCCCTCAGACTCCCGCGATGTCTGCAATTCCTGCTGAGGAGAGTGACCAGCTGCTGATCCGACCCCTGTAAGGGACCAGCGAAGGAGGGAATGAAGCCACAGGCTGTGTGAGAGGCGAGGAGGGGTAACCGGAGTGGTTGGCTTCCTCAGTGGCCTCACTCCATCATGCTTCACTCTGACATGCTTCAGCATCTTGCCTTTGGTCCGCAGTTACAAACCCGGCCTTTTAGACTGAAGGGGTTTGATAAACTATTGATTGGAAGGGGCCTGTAAGGTTGAATGCGATTTTGCTTTGTTTTTAATTTCAGGGCCAGGTATTTTAGAGTTGGGGGGAAAAAGGGGGGGAGGTTGGGGGCTGTTAGTCACTTTCATAGAAGCTAAAGAGGGTTGGCAATTAGAGCAAACCTG